GTGATGCCGTGTGACTTCTGAGGCTAAGTTGTACAAATGCCATGAAGCTTCCAGCTTTCTCTCGGAATACTTGCTCCGGAATCCAGCTACCTGCTGGGGGGATGGGGGTGGGAAACAAGGCAGCTGTATGGAGTGTCCACGTATGGGAGGTGTCTGCCCTGAGAGTCATAGCTGAGGCCCAGCCGACAGCCAGCACCAGTGCCCAGCCGTGGGACTCACCCCCACCCTTTGAGCCATCCGAGATGACTCCATTTGGAGCAGAGATGAGCTGTTCCCACTGGGTCCTGCCCAAATTACACATGTGCGCAAAACAAATGATTGTGGGAGTTTTACCGCTAAGTTTAGGTCGGTTGGCATGTAGGAACAGACGAATGGAAACCCTTTTGGTGCCGCCTACCGCACACATCATCATCATCACCATCACCAACATCATCCAATCTTTCAGGACTTTCTGCTAGCCAACCTTCAATGTTCCCACACCCTGAAGTGCCCACTGTACCCAGAACACTGGAACATACCATGGTGTTTCTTGCATCCCCGACTTCACCTACTCTGTTCCCTGTGCCACAATTGTTCTCCCCAAGATTCACCTGCAAAATGCTAACTCTTCTTTCAACCTTCCCACTTCTTTGGGAGGTCTAATGCCCCAGGAAGCGCCCCTGCCTTCTCTTGGTGTCCTTGGCCCTTTCTTCTTGCCATCACCGTTATTAGTGTCCTAGGGATGCCATCACAAAGTACCCCCAAACAGAGTGGTTTAAACAACAGAAATTTATTCTCCACGGTTCTTTATGCTGGCAGTCCAAGGTCAAGTGTCAGCAGCGTTGGCTCCCCCTGGAGGCATGGGAGGGAGGCTCTGTTCCATGCTTCTCTCTTAGATTCTGGTGGTTTCCAGGTGGTCTGGATGTGGCTTGGCTTCTGCAGCATCACCCCAATTTCTGCCTGCATCTCCACACGGTGTTCTCCATGTATGCACGTGTGTGTTTCTGGCGTCGAATCTCCCCCTTTTCATAAGGACACCCGTTGTATTGGATTAAGGATCCGCCCTATCCACTATGACCTCATTTAAATGACCTCATCTAAATCTTTTTTTTAATATATGAAATTTATTGTCAAATTAGTTTCCATACAACACCCAGTGCTCATCCCAAAAGATGCCCTC